CCTGTTGCCAAAATAAGAATATTCATGGATAGCTTTTTAATTTTGGCACAATCAAGTAGGGAGAAAAAGTAAATGTTTCCACATTCCTTCACGAAAGTATACATTACCATATTATTGTCAACTATAAATACCTTAAAAAAAAAAAAGAGCTTCCTTAAATCTGGAACATAAAACATTAAAGACCCAGGAATATTTTAATAAAAGTCACAAAAAACATAATTGATTATCATTTAAGTCTCATGTAGTTAATTCTTGTTCTGTTTGATTTTAATTAGCAGTTTCATGAATCCATAAGGTATTTTTATTTTTTTATTTTTTTTATTTTTTTTATTTTGAGACGGAGTTTCGCTCTTGTTACCCAGGCTGGAGTACAATGGCGCGATCTCAGCTCACCGCAACCTCTGCCTCCTGGGTTCAGGCAATTCTCCTGCCTCAGCCTCCTGAGTAGCTGGGATTACAGGCACGCACCACCATGCCCAGCTGATTTTTTGTATTTTTAGTAGAGACGGGGTTTCACCATGTTGACCAGGATGGTCTCGATCTCTTGACCTCGTGATCCACCCACCTTGGCCTCCCAAAGTGCTGGGATTACAGGCTTGAGCCACCGCGCCCGGCCTCCATAAGGTATTTTATTGTTGCTTAGAGTTTTGGAAGTTTTTACTTAGTCCACTGAATTTAAAGTTATCAAATATAGATATCCAAGCATATGTGTTTGAGTCTCTTCCATGAATTTGATTGCAGCTGCCTTTAGAGAATGAAACCTATAGATGACAGAAACTTAGACTAACCATGGTTAAAAATCTGATGAGAATTCATGGTAACTAACAAATAATGGGGACACTGAGTTACTTGTATTGTGCATGCTATTTTAAGAAACCAACCAGAATAATGACTGACAGCATCATACCAGGACCGTCAGACCTTTATAAATCTTCCATAATTTTTATAACATTCACATCAAGAACACATCCATATAAATATAACTTAAAGGAGATTTAGCATCATTTAGTACAGATGACTCAGTTTTTCCAAATAATCAAAGTCCAAGAAACTATCTTTTTTTTTTTTTTTTTTTTTT